CTGTGTACATTCTTCAAATCTTCAAATGTTTTTCGCTTTTGTGTCTCTGAATGTTTTGCTTTGTGTATCTGATGGCCTTGTGTTTAGTTGGATTGGCTTTGTTTCCACAAACAGCTCCTGTTACGAGGAATTTTAGTTTTGCGTCAGTCCTTATTTATTATGCGTTTAAGCTGAATTCCACATGTGCACCAAACAAAGCTGTCCTTTGGACAGGCAGATGAGCTGCCTGTAGTGTTTGACATTTGATGGATAGAACATCTGTGTTGGAGTAGCTTTAACCTGGATTCACCTGGAGATCTCCTTAATGTATAGAGCTCTTAAAATCTAAGCTCTGACTTTATGTTTCTAAGTCCTGTTAACCACTGTTTTACCAGGTTTAACGACGACCCCTATTTAAAGCTAAAAGTGTATTTCTTGTTGGAGAATCATCTGGACCACACAAGGCAGGGATGATACATATTGAACCATTTTAATGCTCCATAACATTGGGGCCGTGGAAATCTTAATTTCAGCAATCAGGTGTGTGTGTGAGTGTGTGGTAACTTGTAGCGTGCCTGCTCCTCCACCTGGAATTCATTACAACTCTGGGGGATGTTTATTTTCTCTATTAATCTGTGTTCCTCTATTATCAAGAGCTCCATCAAAACTGCCCCCAAACGACTGCCCTGCAGGCACGCTGGCATCTACACACACAGATATAAAAGATGCATTTAACCGCATCACAACATTAAACCTGCACATTTATCTGTTTCCCCCTATTGTGTGTGTGTCTTTGCATATGTTCTCCCACTGTAGTGTGTTGTAAAGACTTCACATTTGATGGTGGTTCAACGTGCCCTCAGGTCTTTTAAGCGTTGGCGTGTTGTGATAATGTCAAAAACAACTGAACTTTATACTGGCATTCTTCATTGTTTAGTGTATACAGAAGTGAATTCTTCCCCCAGATGAAAGCAGCTTGTGGAAGCATGAGCATATGTCTTCCATTTACCCACCGTGATTCTGACCTTTTCTACAAATGTGTGTGTTTTGATGTGTACTTTCAGCGCTTTATGAGGCCGCAGGATCTGCAGAACCTGAACATGCACTCACTTTGAGGGATGTTGCCAGATTGAGTCATTTTCAGAATCAAGGAAAAGGAAAAACTCAACCCCCCCCCCCTCTGTGTCTCCTCGCAGGCGACCCGAGCCAAGCTGACCGCTCACTGCTCGTCCCTGGGCGACTCTCTGGGGAAGGAGAACGAGCTGGCGCTGATCATCGACGGCCAGACGCTGAAGTACGCTCTGTCCTTTGAGCTGCGCCAGGCCTTCCTCGACTTGGCGTTGTCCTGCAAGGCTGTCATCTGCTGCCGGTAGGGAAGACTCATCCATCACACACAGAGATTCACTTACACGAGCAAGCTTTGGTCATCCACAGGGTATATACACGCATTTTGGAAGTCTGAATTCACACAAAATATACAATTCAGTGGTCTTTTAAAAGGGCCTTTTTACACTTTTCCCTTCCTGTAACTAAACAAAAATAGGGTCTGCAGGAAGTCTAGACAAAAGTCTGGAATTGTAATCCATTAAAGGGTCAGGCACCAGTTGTTGGATCAACATTTAGAGATACACAGGATGATTTATATGCTGTGGAAAACCCCCTCTGGGCAGAGAAAATGTGCAGGCTCCAAGCAAATTAAAAACTTTCAATGCAGTATTTTAACATACAAAGTCTTTGTCACGCAGACCCTTGTTTGGTGTGTGGTGTGTATGGGTCGTTGGTTGCACATGGTCGGCACATGAAGGCGTACGATAAAAGCCTTTCCACTGCACAGCAGGAGGAGACACACTACACTGCATGGAAATGTCAAAGCAATGACTCACTAACGGGTGGCACCCCAGGAATGGGCACCAACACACACTCAGACACACACATTGTCATTATACTGTACATTTCCATTCATACACTGCACTCTGTTCATAGAATGTTTACGCCGTGTTCCCTTTTTTGGTCATGTTCCACTCCGGCACCAGCTGTGATGTTTAACAAAAGACTTTCCACACGGCGTTTATGTGTGTGTGCGGCCAGAAGGGAAGTAATTGACTCTCCCTTACATATCCAGGCCATATCCGGACTCAGTCTCTCAGGCCTTGTGAACAGCCACTTGCTTCCTTTCCTCTTTCCTTCCCTCCATCCTCCCTTTCGTTGAACTGCTTCATGCTGGGATCAAACATCAATGTTTCCAGCTTGTGCAAAAGAGGCAATTGTAGGTATTCACATGTAAAGGAGCGTACTTGAGATTATTATAATATCCTTAATCTTCATTAGGGTACCTGAGGTTAGATTTAAATGTATTTGACATCCCACAATGCCTTGGGAGGTCCCGACCTGCACTTTGGGAACCAGCGCTGTAGGTGATTCCCAATGTAAGTGTGCTATAACACTATTAATAAGGAGCCTGTCCTTAATGAGCGTTAGCTTTAAGACTTAAAAGGATCGCACCTCCTGTATGTGTTGTTCCGAAATGTTGGAATGTGTGTTTGTCTCGGGCGCACTCGTACGCTTGGCTTCCTGACTTCACTGTGCGCTTGTTTATAGGAGGATTTAGCAGCTGCTTATTTTCTGCTCAGTTCCACCGTGAAGAGCACTGGGAGCCTTTCATCTCTCCAACGCCACTTTACACAATCCCAGACTCTGTGAGCGGTGTTTAGAGCAAAGGTAGAGCGGCGGGGAGATAAAGAGAGATTTGTGGTCGGAGGCCAAGAGACTCAGGCAGACACACACTCTCTCACTCTCACACACTCACACACACTTTAGCAACAAAGAGCAGAGGTCGATCCCATCCTTCTGCAAGAATCTGCTGAGGTTTTCCCCTTTTGGCTCGTGGGGGGAAGTGAGTGTGTTTGTGCGTGTGTGTAAATGTGTGGTTACGCACACGCCTATGTATGAATACTAAGCAGACCACCCAGCTCTGTGATTCCAGCTTGACCGGCACATGATCCTTCTTACATATTCATAGAAGAGAGACTGTGTGTGTGTGTGTGTGTGTGTGTGTGTGTGTGTGTGTGTGTGTGTGTGTGTGTGTGTGTGTGTGTGGTGTGTGTGTGTGTGTGTGTGGTGTGTGTGGTGTGTGTTGTGTGTGTGTGTGTGTGTGTGTGTGTGTGTGTGTGGTGTGTGATGTGTGTGTGTGTGTGTGTGTGGTGTGTGTGTGTGTGTGTGTGTGTGTGTGTGTGGTGTGTGTGTGTGTTGTGTGTGTGGTGTGTGTGTGTGTGTGTGTGTGTGTGTGTGTGTGTGTGTGTGTGTGTGTGTGTGTGTGTGTGTGTGTGTGTGTGTGTGTGTGTGTGTGTGTGTGTGTGTGTGTGTGTGTGTACATCTGCTCATAATTAGATTTCACTTTATCCAAGCGCCTCGCTGCATTCTGTTTGCATGTGACTCTCCATGCAGCTGCACATTATTAGATTTTTGTAATATCATTATCTGAACACGGACGAACATGGCAGGGATTTAATGCAAGACTCTAGAGACACACACACACACGCACACACACACACACACACTCCTCTTTTTAGGAACCGTTTTGAAGTATTGTCCACACAAAAGCCCCGTGTTGATACTATCACTATCACCTAATACATCACTGAGGCTCAGATAATTACTATAATCACTGAATTGTAATGTAAATATTTAACACCTGGATTTATGCTAATCTCTAGTAATGCAGCCAACAGGCAAATGGCCTACTGTAACTCAACATGACGTAACATTTATGAATCAAATACCTCATTTTATATACACTTTTAACGTTTATCTCATACTACGCATACTGTAAGACTCTACAATTGCATGTCCTGTACTGTGGGAAATATAACTTGCTTTGTTATACAGGTGTAACCCCACTCCCAGTATCACATGTCTCCTCCTTTGTTGATATATGTGATTTCACAGCGCAGTGCAGGTAGTAAGAACAAGGCTCACTTAAGCTGTGTTCATGTGAGTGACAGACAGTAGCAAAGCATGTTATGAAAGGAGAAATGGAGAAATTCACGTATATATATCTCTTTGAAAATAGCTTTTATCCAAAGCTGCACTTTCAACAACATAAATAAAGGAAACAGGATTGTATAAATGTCTTGGTAGCATGGCAAAAATGCACGGGGATCCGATCAAAAATTCAGAATTGCTATTAAATAGAACTTGTGGTATTGTTGTAAAGGTCAAAAGATTAAAATGTGTTATTGTCATATGCACAAAGCTACAGTGTAGAAATGGCAATGAAATTCTTCTGACCTGAGCTCCTCCAACAATGCAACAAAAGAAACTTCACTTTAAATCAATGTTTAGTCCTGAAAATCCTTAACCCTTATATTTGCATTCACATATAAATATTATGTAACATTAATTGATTGGTATTTCCTAAATGACACCCATATTACGCTGTTATTAACCCCATATTTCACATTAATACCCCCCTATTACTCTGTGTTTACGTCCATGTTACACCATTGTTACACCCATATTATACCCACGTTACACCGTTATTTCACCTACAATACCCTGCTATTAGACCCATATTACACTGTTATTACGCCCATTTCACACATGGGCACAGCCTGTCAAATGACTGTATCCCATATGATACAGAAACCATTTAAGGGTTAAAGTGGTTAGAAAAAATAGATTAAATCCTGAGGAAGACCCTGTGATTAACAGCTCATGTTCTCACAGTTTATTCCATGGCAGCCGGTTGAAGAAAGTAATAATTGATGAGAAAATCACTTCCTAAACCTCCAAACGGCAAACCAACACACCAGAGGCCATGGGTTGGAGCTGTGTGTTCTCATATGTCTGCAGATGTTACACACGGCACCACAAAATGCAACACATACCCGCAGTACTTCAGCAAATGCAACACCTCCCCGTCGTCTCTCAGCCCCCCCGAGGGAGACGTCTGTAATCCAGCCTCCCTGACTCCCTCATTGTCACCGAAGACACAGAACCGGTCATGAAAAGAGGGATCAGTG